CTTTTAGCTACCAAGGGACCTTTCCACAAGGATAGATTGATTTTATTTTTCAATCTATCCTTGGGGGGTAAGCTAGGTGGTTAATGGAAATTAAATCAACCATTTATTTCAGTTTTTAATTTTAGTTAATCAGTACATGACTGATTAACAGTAATGTAAATGCTAAATGTCCTAATACCTGTTGATACTCCAACAATGCAAAGTATATGCTCTTAACCTTGCAGTTTTTCACATATCATGTAAGATATCATTTTCTCTATTTCTTTGCACAAAACTATCCAGAAAGTGCCATTTAATGGTTTATTTTTCAAAAAAGATTCCCGGGGAGCATACCCCCGAACCCCCCTAGGGAGAGCCCACATAATAAATCCCAATTTAATCACTGCTTAGAACCAAACTAAGTAATACAGTCTGTTCCCATAAGTCTTTAGAAATTAGCATTTAAGTGCCTTATATATAAAAAAATATATACAAAAATTCGGGACATCCCCCCCCCCCCCCTAGCATTTACTGTCCCCCCCAGGTTCAAAATTGCTCCTACGCCCCTGGACAGTGACATGACAAACTACCCGTGACATAGACAAGTTGTTTGTTGTAACCATTTTCGTGCAAATCGCACACATTTGTGCCAAATGGCGGCTTTCATTTAAATGGCGGCCCCCTGTAGTCAATAATTGCATCCCTCAAAACTCATCTTTGATCACCAAAATTACATATTTAAAAGTTAGTTTCCTTGAAAATAAATTATTCATGCATTAAAATAACTTGAATTTAACTCTACACTAATGCTTAATTTAGTATATGTGAATTAGCCCCGCCTCCACTCACTCAAACCAGCTCAGAGATACACTCGTTGGCGATCACATGTTGACGTGATTGGTTACAAGGTAGTTTGTGACGTCAGAAACACCAGCGATTTCAAACCACGTTTTTGGTTCACTACAGTTTTAAAGAGAAAATACTCAGCAATGGTGTTGACTTCTAAATTTGCACATGGTTTGTCTTAAAGCACATTAAAAACACCACATAGACATAAACAATAATAAAATCTTGATTTTCACCACATGGGGACATATGTTTAAATTAGTTAGTCACAAATTAGTTTAAAATTAGCATTCTCCCTTTTTTTTTTTTTGAAATAAGATCCACATCATTACAATGCAGGGGGGAGATGCAGACAAAGTGATTTAACTAATATCCTCAGTGCTTGCACATTCTTCTACACATCTCCTTTCTAAGAATGTCATAATTAGGGTCTTTATGCCAACCTGCATAATACGCCAACATTCCACTGTCAGCTAATTACCATCTCGCACTGTTATCGGTGTGGTGGTTAGACTATGATTTGACTTATACCTAACTTGAATGTTCACACCCTGTCAAACCAAGGGAAACTTGAGCACATGGCTATTTTTGTGCTCTGCAGAACATGTCCTTTCGCTAAATGCTGTTTTAGAGCCCTCAGAGAAAAAGGTTATGTGAGGTCATTGGTTCGTTAGGGGTGAGGGTGGGAAGAGGAGAGACAAAGAGAGGGAAAGAGCCAGCATAAAGACTCATTCACAAGTCAATGAAGGCTGACTTGTGTTATAGTTACTGTAAGAACCACTTCTTCTGGAAGCATTTTACATACTCTGGGGCTCATTTTTATCATATCATGCCTGGTAAAGACATGTACGCTACTGGTCAAAAGTTTGGAATAATTACATATTTTAATGTTTTGTTTAAGAAGTCTCTTATGCTCACAAAGGCTGCATTTATTTGTATCAAAAATACAGTAACAATTGCTTTATTTTGAAATAATTGTACAACTGAAAATACAAATTTTCTTTTTAAATACATTTAAAAAAATATATAATATATTCTTGTGATGGCAAAGCTGAATTTTCAGCAGCCCCTACTCCAGTCTTCAGTGTCACATGATCCTTCAGAAATCATTCTAATATGCTGATTTGGTGCTCAATTATTAGTTCTTATTATTATCAATGTTAATATCAGTTTTCATCATTGAAAATAATATGAAATGTTTAGGCTAAAATCAGCATATTACCGTACTATGAAAAATAGTAGACTGTCAAAACAGTAAATTCAGTACATTTAGTCAATTTAATTTTAAAATATATCAAATTAGAATACAGTTATTTTAAATTGTAATAATGTTTCAAAATACATATTACTGTTTTTATTGTATTTTTGATCAAATAAATGCAGCCATATGCCGCATAAGAGACTTCTTTCAAAAACATAATTATTTCAAACTTTTGCACGTTAGTGTATATAGTCAGTGACAGCAAATTGTGGGGAACAATACGAGGAACTGTTGCGAGCTAGATTCGAACCAGCATTACTCACATAAGAACCACAGCTCAATATGTTAAGAACTGCACTAAGCCACAACACAGACAGAGCTGCTGCACTCCTGAAATGGGGCCGGGGTTGCTGGGCAACATTTAACAAGCTCGCAATCATCATTAGGCTATTGTTAATGCTAACAAGCTGAGTTGCTTATCTAAACAATCATTATTATACCCAATCTATCTGAGACTCCAACACAGTGAACAAAACAATGTTAATGAATGATTTAGCTTTTCTATTCCATTACGGATAGCCTGCGTTGTATGACTAGTCATCAACACGTCATGGGGGTACAATGAGTGATGCTTTGTTCCATTTTGTTCCATTTTGTGTCATGATAATGGATAACCCTGCCGTGTCCTTGCCCCTCAGGCCCAATAGACATGAGTTACAAGCCTAGACAACCACAATGACTCACCAGCACTCAAAACACCACCTCACAGGAACCCCACCAGATTGTGTGCTCATATACACGAGGGAGTTTGTTGAGTTTGTACAACTATGTTGATTTAAAGTCATCTCATGCACAATTTTCCTTATCAGTATTGTTGCCTTATTTAAAAAAAAAATACATTTGCTTGAGAAACATTGTGAGCAAAATGATGTAAGATATTAAGGATCAGAATTACTAAATAGGGCAAATTAGTGTGAGAGCGCAATCCCATAAAAGATGGGAGTGGAAAGTTCTGTGGGTGAACGACACGCAAATTAAAGAACAGACGCAGCCGGATCATTTCCATGAAGACCAACGCAATCTACCAAGAGCAGCGCAAATTAGCGTCTGGTTTGAGACATGCTTTTTTAGGCCGTTAAATAATGGCGCAAATACCAGTAAATTGACCAGCGCAAACCTTAGTAAATCACCTTGCATGATTCATTAAAATACTCTCCTCTCATAAAGTTTGCATCTGAAAGGGAAACTCCTACAAATGCATATAGAATAAAGTCCGCCGCAAAAATAACTGTGTCCTCACCTTTTTAGCGCTATATTTTCACTGCGTCTCTTAAGTAAATCCTGACAGTAGTTTTTTAACATCAAAGCGCTGGCACAAGCTGTTGTATGACTAATGTGACTAATTCCGCTCCTTAGTGACCAAGAGTTTTTCCAGAGTCTAGTGTATTTTCCAATTGTTTTCAATGGGAGCGCCATGTTTTTTAAAGCGGCAGCAGCGTGACGGGGCGCTGAGCATCTATTTCACGCTGAGTGCTGAATGCTTAGCATTTTTTATCCGGTTGCACAGAGTTGAAGAATGTTTAACTTTGGGTAAAACGCAGCAATCATCACGGTCACTTTTTAACCAAGCCATCCAATCACAGTGGAGGAGGGGCGGGACAAATAACACACCGACCAACCGTCACATCCTGCTTGTACAACGATTACAAACAGCAACAGCAAGAACATATCTCCATCCAAAACTAGTGCCAGAGCAAGTACATTACATTGTGTCGACATTTTTACATTCAGAAGCAAACTATTTGCAAAATCAGATACTAACAGTCCCGTATCATAGCACACATAGGGCCAGATTTCCTAAACAGGGCAAATTAGTGTGAGCGCAATCCCAAAAAAACGCAGATGGGAGTGGAAATTTCTGCATGTGATCTACTGATGATCTACTGACAAATTAAAGAACACAGACACAGCCAGATCATTTCCATAAAGACCAACGCAATCTATCAAGAGCAGCGTAAACTAGCGTATGGTTTGAAGACATGCTTTTATTGTCCGTTAAATAATGGCGCAAAAAAACAGTAAATTGACTAGCTCAAACCTTAGTAAATTACCTTGCCTGATTTATTTAAATACTCTCCTCCCATAAAATGTGGAGTCTGAAAGGGAAACTCCTACAAATGCATATGCAGTAAGGCCAGCCACAAAACAACAATAACCAGCCCGTTCTCATCCTTTGGCGTCATACATGTGACGCTTTGTATATTTCGTTGAAATCTTACGCACATGGCATCCTTTAGCATCAATATGAGACGCAGAACCCAAGGCGTCATACAGGTGACGCTCGTCTAAATCCAACGCACATGGCATCGTTTAACGTGAATATGAGACGCAGATCACAAGGCGTCATAACCGTACCCTACCCCAGACCTAAACCTACCCATAACAGTGCGTGTTATATTGACGCTAAAGGATGCCATGTGCGTAAGATTTCGACGAAATGTCATATGGCGTCACCTATATGACGCCAAAGGATGAGAATGCGTTGCAATAACTGTCCTCGCCTTTTCAGCACTAATTTTTCACTTCATGTCTTTAGTAAATCCTAACGCCAAAATAGTAAACCTGGCCCATATTGTCTCAACTGAGCTAAAACACTTTGGTGGACACATGGCCGTAGAGTTAGGGGATGATTAAATCTGATCTCTAACCTTAGTATTAAAAATAGATGTAGCAGTTTTTAACTAAAAATGACTTGAGGAAGTTCATGGCTTCTCAGTCACATGACACTCAAGTGTAGTTTCAAGTCCTCATTTATGATTGTGTGTGACTAAGGGTCAGACTTGATTATTTGACACAACTTTCTTGCAACACTCGTCTTACAATCTGTTGACATTGAGATATGTCTTGTTGGCTCTGGATATTGATTTCCCATTTCACCACAGCGACTGAATAAAGACTGTAAAAACTCTCTTACCTTGAGGTTTAGCAGTGAGAACCTCCCTACTGATTGACACCTTCCCAATGACATCATCTCGGCTGTGAACAGAACAGTTTTTGAGACTGTAGGTTTCTACTGAGCAGACATAAGGGGCTCACTTTATATTAGGTGTCAAACTACAATGGACTAACATTTAAATTCATAATTTGATCAAATGCACTTATTGTGTACATACATGTACATGTTTTTAAATTGTACTTTTTTTTTTTTAAATACCTGCATGGCATTACAGCTTAATTTCTGTAATTACATATATAATTACACTGCAATTAACCCACCCACCAATACCACCAAACCTGTCCCTAATCTTAGCCAGCAAGTAACTTGTAATACTTGTAGTATTAGTAAGACTAATAGCAGCAAGTGTTTTGCAATACCGCATGAACACAGAACAAATGTCACACCCTTTTCCACCAAAGCATTTTGAGAGCCGGTTCGGAGCCGGTGCCTACTCGCGAACCAGTTCTTTGTTGTCCAACTCTTTGCTGGACTAGAATCGTTCTTTTACCACGTCATGCTTACGTCGGGCTAAAACGTATGGCGACGTACAGTGGCGTTCGCAGGGCTCTCTAGTCAGTGGGAAAACAAACAGGTTCTGAGAAGGTTCGCAAGTTGAACTAACTTTGAACCAGCACCAGTTCCGAACCAGTTCTTTTTTTGGTGGAAATGAGGTAACATTGTACCTAATCATTTTTTTTATATAAGTACATAGTAGTTAATGACACCTAATAGAAAGTGTGATTGTCTTACATGAATCACAGTTATAATGCTGTAACAATTTATCATGTTAATTATGTCAGTAGTTGAAGGTGAAGTGGAAAATAATTTGTTTTCTACATTTTATGAAGATAATACCCACGCAAAAGTCACTTAAATGATGCTAGCGTGTTGTGGGAGGATCCAAGAGTCAAGCGGTGTGTCCGAAATCACATACTAAGTAGGTACTACATTTGAATTTGAATTTACTTCGCAACCATTAAAAAGTACATTCTATAACAGTATACTCTGAATAAGGGTAGTATGAATGAAATTTGGACATGGGTGACTTACAGTGCAACAACAGTATTCATTTCATTAGCTTGTGCATTCCTATTTCCATTTTTGTGGTTGAGCCACAGTCGCAATATCGGACTGCACAAACAGACATAGCAATATTTTGAAAGCGACACTTTAGGAGAAGTCAACCTTAACGAATAGCTTACTCATAGATGACTCTGCACATCAAACTTTAACAGGAAAAAAGTGTTTTAACAAACAAATATCACACACTTCACCTTCAACCATGTAGCATGTAGGTTAAGTAGTAGTATGTAGGTTCAGACCTGAGAGAGTCCTCATCCAGCACATAAAAAGACACTGTCCGAAAGTAGGGAGAAAGATGGACAGTGTATTCTTCGCCCCAAAACGGAGACAGTGTCTTCCATATTGTTGCTGTCCTGAGAGATAGATAAAAAAATAAATGTGAAAAGTTGTAAATTATGTCAAAAATGAAATAAAATAAAACATACAAAGTAGCTAAATTCATCCTGGTATGCCTATAAATGGCAACTTTCATCCTTTGACATTTTGGACATCAAATGTGTTACTCGTTCAATACAAAACAATTCAATTGTTGAGTCTGAAACAGAATATATTTGTAAAGTCGCAATTGTGTGTTTTAAAGTCAGAATTGCGTGATATTAAGTCACAATTGCGTGTTATAAATTCAGAATTGTGAGATATAAACTCGCAATTGTGAGAAATAAATTCGCAATTCTGACTTCATAACTCGCTATAGGGAATATTATCCTATATTAATACTATAGGAAATTCTGATGCAATTGTGAGTTTATATCTCGCAATTCTGACTTTGTATCCCACAATTCTGAGAAATAAAGTCCGAATTGCGAGATGTAAACTCTGAGATAAAAGCAATTATCTTTTAAAATGTTTCATTCTGTGGTGGAAACAAGCTTCCATAGTTTTCTGTCATTGAATTAAATCTGAAATAAAATAAAATGTAAAAATTACATGAAAAAATGTAACTTAAGAAACAAAAATTAGACTGAAATAAATAAAAATAAAGCTAAATAGAAAAATGTAAAAAAAAAAAAAAAAAAAAGACAAATGGAAAAAAAAATGTAACAAACTTCCTAAAATTAAAAATTGAACATATAAAAATAAAAGTAAATTCAAAATATTAATAAATACTATAATACTATATACTAAAATCACACTGGTCGTACTAACATCCGTCATCTTGAAATAAATGGGATGTCTGGCAAGACCCCTATACTGGCATAAAAAAAAAATAAAGACATTGATTTCTATTTAAACATTAACAAAGCCAGACAGCAGTTTTTCTTTAACTGCAGTGATAGACAGATCACAGCTGGTTCGCATACAAATGTCAATATCAAATCAGAAATTCTAAGCAAAGATTAGCATTTGGTCAATCGTCTAATGCAAGTGTGCTTTGTATATCACATTGTCAATCAACAGACTTATTAACTGCGTTAGCATAAAGCTATCCTGACGAAACAAACATCAGACTACGATCCATACTAACATTTATTTACCTTCAGATTTGGTATACCAGGGGAAAAAATGTGACTTATTGACCAAAGAAATCAGTGTGGCTCAGCGAACAGTCAGTAACATTCACAGTATAATAACTGAAGTATGATTGTTAAACCTTTCAGTTGGCTGGAAAATAAGTAATTTTTACAGGCCCTGCAAATAAAGTGAGTCACAAAAGAGACGGTAGAGTGAATAACAAATAAAAGAATATAATAAACTTTACAAGTTCAGTTAGAAATTCCAGTGTTCTCACTTCTCTCACTGTGGTAGTGGTTTTTATTGTTTTTGTGCATATAAAATGGATTTTCATTTAATTTTCATAGAGCACCAGAAATCAATATGCCCACACTGTACTGACGGTCACAGCTATATATATATTTTGCGTTTTGAACCTCAACCTCAAACTCAAATCAGAGGAGAGGTTTGTTTAGTTTGATCTTTATAAAGCTGCCAAGTGTGGAAGTACAACCACACAGCAATCTATGGTGCAGGAGGGCTTTCAATTATGTGGCACAAATTAAATTAGTTCTGCTTCACAGAAAATTTCATTTCTAACCTGTTCAGTTTATGATAATTTACTTATTATAGGCTGTATAGCAACACAGACCAATATTAGATCACCGAACACTTGTGCTCCAATTGAAATGTGCAGGGGGGGAGGGGGGAATCATACCTACCGAATTATCGCCTCATTATCAATTTTCACGATGCAGTATGGATCACTGCTTCCAGTTCTGCAAGTGAAATGAACAATAATGTTATTGCATACTGGCAAAAACTCAATAGTTATTAATCTCATGATCACACATGATTGGTTTATGCAATCAAGAATTTTAATTGCATGTTAAAATGATGCTGTTGCTCTCAGATCGAAAACCAGGCTTATTTAAATATATAAAGATAATATACATTTATAGTTTGCAAGGATAAATGTATCTTCTTATCATATTCTTTTATTCATAAGATTTTAATTATGGCTGAGAAGGATTTTATAGCCTTATTTCATAGAATCCACAAAGAGTCTTCCTGATGTACTGGAGCTTTGAAGAAACTTATATGAAAGAATTGTATTAATCTTTCAGTTCAAACAACTTTATCAATCCAACCATGAGATTCCAGAGGGATGTCATTTTTACAAATTTCATGAATTAGTCATTCATAAAGATCATGACATTTTAAAACCTGAACAAACTTTGTCCTAAAAGGATCATAAAAATGACATTGACTTATTAAGACTTATTGACATTGACGCAATTATAAGACAAAATTCTTGTCTATGATGTCATTTCCTGTTTTATGTTTTTTCCTGTCTTTTTCTCCACATAACTTTGTTGGTCACACAACATGACTTTGATTCGCCATTAAAAATAAATATTTCGAATATTTTAACAAAACTGCTTCAATGCTCATATCATTTTCTAAGAAGTAATAATAAAAAATTGTGCCAAACTTCATCCCGCACACGCCGATTAAGGACATTTCTATGGGATGAAAGGGAAATGCAAACACGTGGCTTTCTCCAGGTATTATATGCTCCTCCTTGTAAATTACACACTTTAGATTTAAATTGCAGGTACAATCATATCTTCCTGTTCTTTGTCCAACAACAACAAAAAAAATACTTTTTTGTGTGTATATAACATTTCCGATATTTTAAAATGAGAGAACTTCCATTTTCATTCCTCAGATGTCTCAGATGAGCTGTGAATTGACATAGAGCATTTGTAGAGATGTCTGCTGTCACTGTGAGGATATTGAAATTCCTCCGTGGAGGTAATGACTGCTCTGGGCAACTTTGGTGAGCTGTTTGAGTGCGTGTGTGTGTGTGTGCGGAGAGAGGAGAATGAGTGCATCATGCGGTGATTCATCTTCGCCTGTTGTTATCAGTGTAATAGGGAAACCTGTGGCTGTCAGAATCAGGTGCTACATCAAACAGCACTGAAGACTTGGCAGTTAAACCACATACTATCATCCTCATGCCACCTGCAGGAGGAGGATAGAGATGATGACAACAGAAGGAAGAGGAGAGATTCCTCTCTCGCTCTCTCTGCTTCTCTTATCTTCTGTAACCATGATGTTCTGTTTGGGGACTGAGAGACCCCAGAGTCATTTTACTAGTTAAACACATAGGCTACTTGAAATTGAAAGTTGTCATGAAATGAAAATTCAACTATCTATTTTGTAAATGCATGTTATTCTGAATTATTCACCCAAGTACACTGAAAAAAAAAAAAAGAAATCCGTATAAGCACTGCATATTCTTCTTCGAAGCCGTTTCACTCGGATATATACATCACAATAGGGATAAAGAGACTAACGAAACTTCCATTTCACGTCGACTTTAAACTTGGATGTAGATTGCAAGGTCCGATTTAAAGCTGCAGTAGGGAGTTTTGAGAAAACGTTGACTTAGCCTGAAAATTTGAACAAGCACAACTCACAGGTCCCACCCCCTTGCTCTCTGCTGCGCTACAGCCCTCCCTCCACAGCGGAGCCTGTCGTGAACGCGCAGGCTAGTAAACAGGGCCACCGATAACAGCGGATAAAATGTTATATGGCACATTCACTATAGGGACTAAACGTCAACAATATGCTTTACATTGACTATGGCCTGCCCATACTTTGACTACAAACTTGGTCCTCAAATCATTATGTATTTTGCAATAGCCTACATGTAACTTTATAACGTTGCACTCTTTCTATAAGTTATAAATAGCTAGTAAGATAACGTTAATATAACGGTAACTAACGTTACAGTATGTAATTATTCTAGCGATATATAATGCTAGATAAGGTGTGCTAGTACATTATTTCAGCAACATGACAAGCCAGTGAATTAGCAGGTTTCAATTGTTGCTTAGCAGAGTGCGTGACATTTTATCTACATGTTATGCGGCTAGAGTTTTGACACCGAGTCAATGGGCTCTGTGTAATTCTTTCTTTTTCGCTTGTTTATCGTCATCGGTCTTTTTCCTTTTACCTCTTTGTTTTATGAGCAGGTGTCACTCGAGAATTGGCAGTTTAGGTTGTTTCTCCGTCATAAGCACAGCTGCAGCACGCCGGCAATCTTGAGTTTGAACGACGGCTCGCGCTCCGGCGCTCGCGCTGTGCAAGAGAGGGGTGTGATCAGCGCGTACACGAGCGTGATTGACACTGCTAAGACATTCCTCCTGGCTCTGATTGGTTGTTTCTGACCGGGAGCGTGTATTTCTTGCAAATGGCAATAGGACCACTGGGAGGAGCCAGAGGAGCTTGATTTTTACACAGATTATCTGTCTCATATTCTACTGTCAGGACATAATGACAGTTTTAGCAAATACTTTTTTTCAAAAGTTATCTACAGCAGCTTTAACGAGACTTTAAAAATCAGGCGGTTACTTCTTGACTTTGCGATAAAAATATTACCGCAATTAATCATGCACCTCCATAAAAAGGACATTTTCAACCATCTTAAAAACGCAGTAGCCTACTTATGACGTAAGATGCTGAAAAACATAACGCGGTGCCCACTAAGGGTGTGTTTGTTCACACTTTTAGCTCAGTTCTTTTTTGGTCGGGACTCGGGACCAAAAAAAGAAAACGATACATTTAGTCCTGCATGGTTCGCTTAGTGTTCACACTGTCATTTTTAAGACTGCACCTAAAGATACAAAAACAACAAAAAACTATTTTATGATGTATATTTTACGACAGAATTTCTTATGTCAATTTTTCTTCTCTGTTTTTTGTGTTTATTTAAAAGAAGACCAATCTGATCGTAATCGTCTCATCTTAATCGTATATCTGTTATTTAACAGTTAGCAGGGTTTAAATCATAGTTGTGCAGGTGGGGAAAGTTATATAGCGTTACAATGTGCCTCTATTAGAACTATCCTATTCTATTCTATACTTTTATGAATTCTATTGAGAAACCATGAAAAAAAGGTGAATAAAGACAGAGTCAATGTTCAGAATTTATTTATTATTATTATTATGTTTTGAACTATGCTGTTTAGCTGTGTTTTGCTGTGTGTTGTCAAACTTAAAAATTAATTTATTTTGAATTATAAAAAATGCCATTATTTTATATGAAAAAGTTACTTATTGTATTTTATTGAGAAAATATTTTAGTTTGTCTTGTATATTTTTTGGATTAGATCAGATAACATTCTAATCTTTCATATGGTCATGTTACAATGTGCCCCTCACATGTTACAACATGCCCCATATGGGGCATGTTGTCACATGTCACTTCCATTCTTTTGTGGAAAATCAAGAAAAAAGTATACACTGTATTAATAAAACAAAACCACATAATTGTATAGACGTGTGAAATTAATGTGAGAAAACATAAATACTCAGTCTGAACTCTAAGTAGGTTTACACAAACTGAGAATTTTTGAGTGTTAGGTTGTGCCCCGCTCTTCCCTAGGGACATATGATGGTATTGCTGAGAACTCACGAAGAGCTTATAAAATATGTCAAGTCTAAACAGTGGCAGGAATTCCTCCGTTACACACACAAATGAAGATCTGCTGCAAGGTGACGGCGTTTCCGGAGCCTGTACTGAACTGTAATGGGCAACGTAGCTCCTATGACGGGATAAACCAGGTATGCTTGAGCATTCGGTCCTTTTAGGGTCCCATCTTGTGACATCACGTCCTGTTTTTGGTTTGCTGCATGTGTAGGCCTACATGGAAATATTCTGTATAATCAGCATATCATTTGAATTTTTTATTGATTGATTACACACACATCTTTGGTATCTGGGATCTAAGACATAACATTAAAGTCATCTCAAGAGAACACGAGGGTTAAGTGTGTTCTGTGTCACAAATACATGAATCTGTCTTGACAGAGTCCAGGCCTGTGTTACAACGGAAGCTCTTTAACAAGCTACACATTCATATGTCTGCATGCTCTACACTTGGGCCAGTGGGTTCATTCGTTATTCTGGTTCAGACTATCATCTCTTGTTGGATCACACAACCATGCCAACTGTACAGTTTATCTATAACTGACTAATACTGAGCCTCATTCTGAACACAAATCTAACTGCCAACTGAAATCTGAGAAGCTACAAGAATAAGACGAATTATGCTCTCAGATTACAACTAGGCTTAGGGCTGCACCATTAATCAAAATACAATCAAAATCACGATATGACATACATAACAAACGCGTGTCCCAAACTTATTGTGAACCACTTAAAATGTATGTTAAATATATTTTAATCTTACAGGGAAATATTTTAATATTCATTTCTTATTTTGTTTAATATTTTTATTAGTAATAATAATAATAACAGCAACAACAACAATTATACTCATTATTATACATATGATATTGTGCAGCCATACAAACCTGGAGCGTTTTATCGCATTTTAAATCATAAATGCAATTTTTATCAAAAAAAGAATAATTTCCAACCCTAAAAATGCCTATATAATCAAAATCGATTCCAGATATACTTTAAAAATAATGTGGTTAGGTTAGGGTTAGGTGGTTGCCAGGGTGTTGTTATGTGATTCCTATGTTGTAATGGATGGTTGTTATGGTGTTGCTAGGGTAATATCAAACAATACAGGGTGAGTTACATGCAGGGTCCCCAGCTCCGTAGCCTATTTTCAGGCGCTGCGTCATATCATTGCGCCTGCTGCACTCATGGTACGGCAGTAAAGTTTCTTGATTACTACGCAGGAATGAGAGTATAGTTCCTAGCCATATCAGCCTAGAAAATCGCAACTTTACATTTTCCGTCAGTCTTAGTGCACGATGTAACTACAGAAGAGTCAAGTTTTAAATAGGAAAAATATCGAAACTCTTTGGTCATTTTTTTTTTAGAAATGCTAATGGTCTTGTCCACTTTAATGATGTATGCTGCTAAGCTATGCTAAAAGTGGTACCGCCAGAACCGGAGATCGGCTGAATGGATTCAAAAACGGTAAAACTCAACAGTTTAACTCTGGGGGAGTTGTAAAATGAGACTATTTCCAAAAAAAGTGGAGTATCCCTTTAAGGCCGTGTGTCCACCAAACCGTTTTTCCACACGTCTGGCGTATATTTTCAATTGTTTTCAATGGGAGCGCCGCGAGGTGCTGAGCGTTTTTTTTCACGCTGAGTGAATGTTCAACTTTGGCCAAAACGCAGCGCTCATCGCTGTCACTTTTTACCCAGCCGTCCAATCACAGTGGAGGAGGGGCGTGACTAATACCACACCGACCAACTGTCACAACATTCTTTCTGTACAACGACATCAACCAGCAGAGCAAACCGAACAAAATGGATGAAAAATTAATTTTTAGTATGAAACAAATTATCTGCGAAATCAGTTACAAGTAAACTGTGCTGCGGATATTTTGTATCATAGCAACGAAACGTCTCACCGGCCAAAACGCTCTCAAGCGGCCAAAGCTAGGCGTTTTCAGCAGAGCGTCTAACGTTTTCAGCTGGCTAAAAACGCTTTGGTGGACACATGGCCTAAGGGTTAAGAAAAATGATTACTGACAACTGTACCGTGTATGTTCTGTTTTGGTTTCGTTTTCATTCTGTTCCCTGTTTTACTTTGACCGAGTTCTGTTCCCTAGTTAGTTTCCTTGGTTGTTAATTAATCCTGCACCCGTTTCTGTTCTGGTTAATTATCTCTCCCCATAGGATAGGCTACAACGGGGTTAAAGGAGCACCGGGGTAAAAGGCGCCTTTGATTTTATTTTCCTCTAAACCACTAGATGGCACAAAAACTTGCCGCAGCACTTTCCAAAACATCCGCTTTTCAAGATGCACGTGGAAATTTGCCTGATCCTTGATGTGACCATGGGCAGCAGCGTAAAGTTGATTTCGAAAATGGTCTCCTTGTAAACAACAAAAACACGAATCTCTGCAGACGATGACGTCATGCACATAGTACGTGTTCAATCTAAAGTGCTTCATCGCCATCTAATGGCCTGGCAGCAGAATACAGCGCTTTAGCCGTTTTCGCATATCCGTGGGGATCGTTTTGACAATGGTGTCGTCTGTAAGCGGAAAACTCAAAGGAAAAACTTCAGCATATCATGCCGTGTAAACGTACCCTTAGTTTCCTCAGTTCTTTGTTCAGTCCCATTTGTGTTATTCATGGTTGTATGATCTTTCTCCAGAGTTTTCCTGTGCCCGTTGGATTTAATAGGCTTTATGCACAGCTTCACTACTTCCTGAACTTCAGCCAGCCCTTTGTTTCCTGTCTGTCATTATTGGACAAACTGATTAATCCAGGTGTGCCTGATTATTGTTACTGAGGCCAGGCACACCTGAATTAATCAGTTTGTCCAATAATGACAGACAGGAAACAAAGGGCTGGCTGAAGTTCAGGAAGTAGTGAAGCTGTGCATAAAGCCTATTACACTCTAAAAAATGCTGGGTCGTTTCAACCCAAATTTGGGTCAAATATGGACAAACCCAAATGTTGGGTTAAAAATGTAATTAAAAAATTTACAGTTGAAAGTGAAAGTTGAAGTTGGGTTAAAATTTAACATTAAATTTTTAACCCAACATTTGGGTTTGTCCATATTTGACCCAAATTTGGGTTGAAACAACCCAGCATTTTTTAGAGTGTATTAAAGACTGTTTGTTTTTTTTAATCTTGATCGTCGTGCGCTTCATTGTAGCCACACACTCCGGACAGCAACAATATCAACAATATCTGATTGCACTTTCTATTTATAATGATCTTGTAAAAGTCCCAATCAATGAACATTTATCTCACAAAACAAGTGCTCATATTCCCTTTTCCCAGGTGCTGATTACTCACTAGCTGCTTCATTATAATTAGCATATCTTAAAAAGTCCAAAACCTACAAATCTTTCCAGAGCCTTGCAATCATTTAAAGAAAGGTTCATACTATTTACTAAAGCTCAGGGCATGTGTACATAAAGAGGGATGGTTTGGAGAACGTGTACAATCTCTCAATCTCTCCACAGCGTCAATACAAACACTCCACGTAACATCTGCTCCGGCGGTTCGGCCCCCCGACTAGTTCACTAGTAATTTAATTTAATCTTACAAGGAAGCGAAATCAGTAACTCAGGAAAAGAAGGGAATCACATTTTCATTGCATTGACATGACCACACTGTTGAAATGTTAATGCGGATGACCTTACTAGCCAATAAAGTCATTTCCTCACAGAATGTGGGAGAGCTGTCCTTAATTTCCACAGAAGCATAAACTGTCGTCATCTGGGCTGTTGTGGTCAAAATCATAGACATGTGAGTTTCCAACCTCATACCAAACAAACGAGTGCCAAATGAATTCGCAATGGAATGCTGCCAATTTCCAACAGGGAACCAATTAACAAGCTTAACTCATTTATACTGCTCATTAATGGTTTGAAAAGAGTGTGTATACAGCAGTATGCTTCCAAAATAACAATATATAACTCTATATATATAGAGAGAGAGAGAGGGAGAGGGAGAGGGAGAGGGAGAGAGAGAGAGAGAGAGAGAGAGAGAGAGAGAGAGAGAGAGAGAGAGAGAGAGAGAGAGAGAGAGAGAGAGAGAGAGAGAGAGAGAGAGAGAGAATTCTGAGTGTAAAATATTAGAATGTGATTGATGAGTCTGATGATGTGGATACACTGATGAGTAATATCTAATAATATTGATTGAGAGAAATGCACTATATGTGTAATTCCCTATACAGGGAGCATCAGTAACACATAACACAATAAAACAGCTTTTTAAATGTCATTCATTTAAACTAAAACCATCATTTAGATATTTATATCACACATTTTTATATGATAAATGCTCATTCATTGTAATGCAGAACAGGTTATCATTTTGTAGGCTACAGTATATGCACTTTCATTGATTTGTTTAAAATATAGTATAGGATATATTTGTGTTTATTAAAATGCCAGAACTGTTCTTTTAAAATCCCTAAATCCTATTTGTTTTAAACATTTCATTGTGGAAAAAAAAAGTGTAATGCAAAATGATTTTTTCTTGCTTTTTTAAACTGAAATGCTCTCTAATAAGGTAGGCTCTCTGTGAATTTATTATATGCTGTATCTGTCAAATCCCACACATACTGCTTTTCAGTATATTTATCTTCACACTTGCACATGTCTTCCCACATATTTATGTGTAAATCATCGTATAATTTCTACATAGTTTAAGTCATCAACACTTACATGTCCTTGATTGGCAGGTTCTTTCCTTCCACAATCCTGATGAATAGTGTGCTTCGTTTAGCCATGCTGTCATTCAGTGACTATATCACGCGCAGTCACTTCTTATTCCTTCAATAACACGCATGCTTATAAGCGTTGCAGAAATGATAATGTGCGTTCTATCTATAAAGCTTCTCATATGTAAAGCCTGTGCTGAGAAGCGGCACCGCCGTTCAATCCAGCGGTCGTCTACACAATCCACGCGTTACACACAGGCGGGTTCTCTGATCTCTGTGGGTTGTTTGTATGGAGGAGGAGTGACTGACTGACTAGAACAAACACTAGAAGAGAGACGGTTAGGCAGACGCGACGCGACTAAACTGCAACGCTCCTTTTAGTATAATCGCAACTGATTTTAAAGTAAGCGGTTTGTTGAATATTGTACTTTTGTTGTGTCGCGGGACTCGCGTCAAGTGGAGACGAGGTGTGGCGCGACGCGACGGGTAAATTGAATTTTCCGTGTGAGGGAAAGAGGCGTCATTTCTCAACCTCGAGAAAGAGATACCTGAGATAAGCAAACAATTGTCTTGGTAGACTAGTAGAAACTAAACACATGAAAAACGTATAGGGTTACACTTTTTATTCCATGTTTTTAAAGTCAATATTTGTTTAGACGTGTATCTTGAAGGCTTGGCTACTAGCTGTTAAACATTAAAGCGTTATAAGGGGGGTGTAAAGGGGGTCCGTGGACATTTTTAGAGAAAAACAGTGTAAAAAATAAACATAAATAGTAAGAATAAAATAAATTCAGTTTTATTCAATTCAATTATAATATTCCGTTAAATAAAAAAAAGATTAAAATACAAATTTGATAATAATAAATTATTAAATTAAATGAAAAAATAAAATGTATTAGCCTATAATAGTACACAGTATATTATTAGAAAAAAAAATTAATAAATGACATTTTCCAAATAATATTTTATACATACATACTTATATTTCACTGTATAAATTGGATCTTTATACATTTGATCTGCCTTTTAAATCTTAGGATTGGGGTATCTCCCATGAGAATGACCAAATATGGGGGTCTGACTGTGGCATAAAAGATTGAAAACCAGGATAAAATATACAGTTAATTGAACACATGAGACTATAGCTAGGGGGTAAGTTTTCACAATGTTTTATAAATAATTATTCAAAAATGTTAAGCACACATGAAATCTACATAGGCTACCCTAATAAAAATGACAACCTGTCCCGACTTGACATTTACAGTCCACTACAATTCCATTCCTTATCTTGTTGACAGTTCTCTGAATGTATGTCAGTGTGGCTTTATTGTGCTCACTAGTTAAAGATATGATGATGTTGGAGGGCAGAATTCAGAAACAATGCTCCAATTTAAGAGGGTTTGAAATGGATGTAAATCAACATGTAAAACCACTGCCAACAAAAACACTCATTGCGACTTCTTTGCTTACAATCGTGCATTTAAATATTTGAGGACAGCTGTCCACTTCTCTTTCATTTCTCTAAATATCTGTATGGCGTTGCTTTTTACTGGGGAACGAGCCCGCAGGGAAATGGCTTTTTTTTCTAACGATTCAATGTTATTTAGTGTGAAAACACAGTATCGAAAACATTCAAAGGGTGATTTAGAATAGCCGAGAGCTGCAGTATGACAGTGTACTTCCTTTTTCACAGAGGACTTTTGCCTCAACACAGGTTATTATGACTGATAAGCTCATGATGTAACCAAATAACCCCAGTCTGTTTTAATAATGGGAAGAGACTCCACACTTACTGAAATGACTCACATAAAAACAGGCGAAACTGAAAGAAAATATCTCTCTAAGCTCACCAGTCGTAATTGTTTTTGAAAATTGAAAGCCTCGCTGAATGCATGCAGTTGAATAAACAAGGTTTACTTGATTATGGTCTTTGATGGAAATGGACTCTCACATAATGTCAGCCGAATGCACTAACAGATTCTGATTTAGGCTACACGAGTGCTGTCAACATCCGGAAAAGATCAAGAAGTGCGCCTTCATCATGGAAAAAGGAAGATGATTCACTGTCCAGTCACAACAGAGTTTATTTCCAGACAGACAAATTGACCACCTCTACTATATATGAAAGGGAAGTTCATGCAATAAGGAATCTTGATTCTAAAACATTCTCAGACCATGCAGGTAAAATGCCGATGCTGTTTAGGCTCCAGTGAGGTTTTCCATCAAATTATGTGTTTTTACAAAATATAGGCATTCTAATGCGTGAGTGTGGGCACGGGTGACTCATTGATCCAGGAATACAGACGTGAGATCCTGCACCTTTAGAGCTGTGACCAGAGGAAGGGATACACTGTGTGGGCTTCTTGTGACTCACCAATTTATCCAAGAGTTACCAGAGCGCAACCCTCTCTTTATATATAGTGTGTTTGAATGTAAGCCGCCATTTAGCAGAGGCTTTTCATGTGGGATATGAGGCTCATGAGAAAACAGAACTATTTTGTGAGATGGTTATTTTGCATGAATTTGTACGATGTGATTTGTATGGAAACGTAGGAGTTTTATTAAAAACAGCATGAAGGTCCACCTATAATCCCACCCCTAAACTTAACCATTAGTCATATCAGATCATACGAAAGCTTAAGAATGAGATTTGACGAATCCGCCACCAATTTACCAAAATGTAAAACACTTGCAAAACTGCCATTAGAGTGTGTTCCATTGCAATATTAAAGGGATAGTTCACCCAGAAATTAAAATTCTGTCCTCATTTATCATTTATTTCTTTCTTCTGCTGAAAACAAAAGAAGATATATTGTCTTTCAAAAGTAAGACTCGACTCTGAGTCAATGAAATGAATTGTTTTTCAAACGAGTCATAAGCCGTTTCGTTGTGACGTCAAGACGAAACAATAGCATATTGCCCGTCCACTTATTGCGCACGCAGACTCCAGGGAAAACTTGAACCTCAAACACTGCAGCTGATTCCTGTGGATACTGGATATCATCATGTCGAGAAGACGCTGTGCTCTACAATGTGAGGGTAAAGCCAGTTTTTTTTTTTTCACTGCCCAAGGACGATCATGAGAAGAATCAGTGGTTCAAATTCATCTTTACTACGATATCACAGCAGTATAATCCTAAACTTTTTCTGTGTTCCCTTTATTTTACTGACGACATCTCAAATCTCGGAGTTCAATGCAGGATTCGCAAACCGCTTGCTCTTGAAAGATGGTGTTCAAAATACTTAGTTTTGAGTTTAATTTTGTGTAGGTCTCCTGCTAACTGGTAAACTCATACTACTAGGTACTAGGTACATACTACATACCTGCCAACTTTTGAGTTTTGCTCGGCGTGAGATTTGGGGGGGGGGGGGGGGGACGAGTGAGATTTGTTGATGGGGGGGGGGGGGGGGCGGGGATGGGTCTCGCTCGCGCAAGGTCTCTCGCTCGCGCAAGCTCTCTCGCTCGCTCTACGCGGTTTGGAGCACAATCTCTGTCTCGCATGCACGCTCGCTCTAGATAACGGGAGATTTTTAACGAATTTGCGGTATAACTAGTCGATCACGAGTGGCTCAACAGGTAGATATATAGATAAACTCATCTTCCAGGCATTTGACCGACCGGGTTGACACTTCAGCGTGAGAAATCGGGAGTGTGGCGTGTGAGCGTGTGAAACCAATCAAATGCGGGTGTCTCACGGCCAATGCGTGAGAGTTGGCAGCTATGATACTACTAGGCCTACTACTCATACTAACTCATACTACTGTGGTAGGACTCATTGACTACGTTTACATGCAGCCAATAACCCGTTCAAAACCGGGATATTAGCAACAGTGGCGGCTCCAGACAATTTTGATTGGGGGGGCAATGGGGGGTCCTGGTCATTTCAAGGGGGGTCTCATGAAAACCAACAAAAAATACAGTGGACACGGCTAATAACTGCATATTGCTGCTACTTAACAAATGGTAAATGGTAAATGGACTGCATTTATATAGCGCTTTCACAGACCCAATGGCCACCAAAGCGCTTTACATATTGCCTCACATTCACCCATTCACACACCGACGGTTTTTTGTTTTTAATTAATTAATCAATTGCAGTTTGCAAACAATATGCTCGAACTTTAATTGCCATAGCCACACCCATGACAGAAAACATATTTACAAAATAGTATCCTCCTCATCCTCCAATTCCTCGGTGTCCTCTGTTTCCAGTCTATACTAAGAAATCCTATGAAAAATTATTTACAAAATCTTCTGCAGGACAGTTCAATTCTTTACAATAATATAATATATTATAAAAGAAAATTAAGCTGTTACACTGAGATGGTTTAGGAAAACCATAAAGTGTTTTTGTACAGTCAATAATTGTACAGGCAGCATTAAACCATCAAAGTTAAATGATTATTTATAGCTTATGAATTTCCTAGCCTAAATTTTTTTTAGCAGGGGGTTTCAAACTTTTTAATGGCAATGAGCCCTAAACAATACCCTTGTGAGATTCTTTATTTAGGCTTATAATATAATAAAATATATGCCCAATATAATATAATATAATATAATATAATATAAAAAAATGAATTGAAGTATTTGAAGTGATAGTTTAAATGCTTCAATTTGTTTTCATATTATATTATTATAATATGAAAACAAACTGAAGCATTTACTGTAAATAGCTAGATCTAATAGCTAAATATTTTCAAGAAAAGACAATATGTGAACTCTTTTATAGTAGCCTAATCTAACCATGCCTGAAACTATTTAAATCTATGTAAACTAATGATGTATTTTGAGTTTGCACGCGGGTGGGTGTGTAATTGTTACCGTTCTGTGTCCATCATCCGTTATTTCCACCACTTTAATCAAACCACTCTTCTTTAAAACATGATATTGTGATTTTATTTCACATGTCTTTGCGTTTCTCGTCGCCTCTCGTATTGAGATATTTGGTCCGCACACACGACTCACTGCCAATCACACGCGCTCACATCATTCTCTTTCTTTGAAACATGTTAACTGCACTCACCAGTTTGAGCACTGCAATTATTTCTCACATACAATCAAATGGATTTCCCCACACATTTCGCGTCAGTCCTCCGCGTGGCATATTATTCTTTTCTGCGCGGCCGCGGCATCAGAAGTGCACGACCGCGCACGCGCGCAGCTTAGAGGGAACGTGATTCTTATGTTTATATATTTTGTATGTCGAATAAATTATTAATTATTATTGTTCTGCGTAGTTTGAAGATAAACATTTTTAAATATTTATCCCGGATATATATTTCTTTTAATCAGGAAGGGGGTGGGGGGTCAAATGGGGGGTCAAAGCATTTTTTGGGAGGGTCTTGAGACCCCCCAAGACCCCCCCTGGCGCCGCCTCTGATTAGCAATAACCCGGTCGCGAACGGTCATGTAAACACCGGCAAAAACCCGAA